TTTACTTTATTTTTATATATATATATATATTAGGGGTGGAGGACAGCATGTGATATTAGGTTGTTCGGAAAATAATGTCTGATTTTAAAATAAAACTTTTGAGATCTAATATCTCTATCTATAAAAGGCGGGATGTGTGTGTGTGTAACGAATGCAATTTTCGACGGATTTGCACCAAAATTTACATGCACATGCTCCAAGTTAGCGGGAAGGCCAAGACTGACTTTGCATTTCCCAACTCCCATCGATAGTGGGAATATTCGATTTTTTCATAGTTCTACGGCAATTTTCATGTAGTTTGCGGCCATTTTCTACTGGCCAGAGTGAGAGCCTATAGCTGGCTGCCACGAATAGGCAGGAAGATTCTATTGGCCAGCGTGAGAGCCAACAGCTGACTGACACGAATGTTAACTAGCATGCTAGCATGCAAAAAAATAATCGATAGCTGCATTCGTCACAAGTTGGGGAAAATTTAAATCTGCATGGCACTTTACTCTATTTGGCTCATTCGCTTGCTTAAACTCAACGTTGATTCTGATTCCGCAGAACTGGGTTGGGTGTGAAAAAGTATTTGTTGTTAACATTCTTTTTTTTATTCGGTTTTTCCAGTTACGAGTCCTTTTTTAAAGCTGATTGTTTTGTGTTCATTTTGTTAATTCTTTTTTCGTAACAGATTTAATCTTTAGTATAGAGCTTTAAAAAAATTCGCAGTGTGAGATAGGCAAGAAGTAAGGCATGTAGCAATATCAGCACGGCAAAGGGCACTCCTTTAAAGGCAAGGAAGGGCAAAAATATTTTAAGTCAAGTGATAGCGATTGCTGTATGTGTCGTACGATTTTTGAATCAAGCACGGGCAACGCCGGGCCATGCTGCTAGTATTATTATAATAGTTGCACAAAAATATCTTACTCACTACTGATGATTAAAGTGTCCTTTTTTTAACCTTGAAACAATCTCTTTCAGAAATTAACTTATTTGGTTGTTTGGAAATTAATGCCCGGTTTAAGAATAAACCTTTTAATTGTGTTCTAATATATTGTTATAACAGTTGCACAAAGATACATTACTAATTTCTAATGGTTAACGTGTCCTCTTTGTTAATTATATATGAATCCCTTTCAGAATTGAACTCAAAACTTTATGTGCCCCTCATCTTGAACATGAGAAATTAAAAAGAGGTGCGTTTACTTATTTTGCATGAGTTCAAGTTTGGTTAGAATGCTTGTCAAACTGTTGTCAACATTAACAGAGCATGGGGAAAAGGATGCACTTTTGAACGGACAGTGAGACTACTGGCTTTGAAGTTCTGCAGTGGGGATACGAAAGTTGAATATCAAGGTGATAGAGGGCGTCCCTCTGCAATTGACAATCAACATCTGAAAACATTAGTCGAACAAAACCCACATTAAAGTGTCAGAGAAATGTCTCAGATAATGGGTGTCAGCCTTTCAACAATATCGGACCATCTCAAGAAAATTGGCAAGGTGAAGAAATTCGGGAAATGGGTTTCACAAGAACTCAGTGAAAATCAAAGAGTTCGACGTTTTGAAGTGTGTTCGCTGATGCATCTGCGGAATTCGAATGATTCATTTCTTGATCGAATAGTGACTTGTAATGAGAAATGGATCCTTTATGACAATCTTAAACTCAATGGCCTGATCATTAAGAAGGAACAGGACAATTTCCAGAAGCGAAATTACACCAAGAGATTAGTAATGAAAAAATTCATTACTTTCTTTAGAAATTGCTTTCTTTGCGTCTGGAGAAGAAACTGGGCAGATATGAAAATTTCGAGAGTCTATGACGAGAAGGATTTCGCTTTCAGACAAATTTCGTTAGAAACAACAAAAAAAAGAGTAATGAACTGTTTATAATTTCAGTCACCCTATATGGCAGTGAATGTAGGACAATAACAGATGAAGAAGAAACTTGAAGACATATAAATGTGGTTCTACAGAAATATGCGGAGAATAACATGGACCGAACATGCAAGCAACGAAGAAAATAGAAACAAAAATGACACTTATAATTGACATCAGAAAGAAATAGTTGAAATTTTAGAAGGCTTAGAAAATTTGACACTCACAGGACATATTGAAGGCAAGAGGGACAGGGGAGACAACTCATAACCTAAAGAGCTTGTGTAATGGTAAAACATGGTTTAGGAGAGATAGCAAAAAGACAAAAATTGCTAAGAGCTACAAAGAAGAGGAAATTGTGGAGAGCCATAATCACCAATGTTCTGAAGGGATCACAGCACATGGGAGAAAAAATTTCAGTTTAATTTGTTGTTGATTCTTAGATTTAATCAAACAAAATTTAATTCTTAGTTTTTAGTGCCACGACGTATGCACACATAACCACAATGGGTTCGATCCTCATTGGATACCCCATACATACGGCTTTGTGTCACATCTAAGCTACGCTTAGGAAATCACCATAAGCATAATCATGTGACACTTCGACGTGTTTTAAGGGTTAACAAACATGTCTCGCTATATCATATTATGACTGAATAGTGAGTTCGATCCTCAGTGGGTGCTTGATGACACATCTAAGCTTAGATATGACACAAGGCCGAAAGTATGGGGAACCCAATGAGGATCGAACTTACTATTCAGTCGGAATTTTTCTAGCGATACAAGCTTGCTAACCATCGAGATGCCCTTTGATTTTCTAAGCGTAGCTTGAATGTGGCTTAATTCTTTGAGTTCTGACTACCACTTTACCGGTGGTAGAGAAAAATGACAATGCCCAGCCACCGGTTGAACGGTGGGTAGACACTTGCGTCGTGTTTTGATATGGTTGTCTTATTTGGGTAGACTGGGACACAAAGAAAGAATTCTGACGAATGCATACAATCATACTCCTACCCTGCTAAGTATAATGTTTATATTTTTTGTAACTATTTTTATATCTACCGTGAAACAGTACATACCATTTATTTGCGAATCTTGACTCAGGAGCTCAGGCAGAAGAGTTAAAATTATACAGCAATGCAGGGTTCAAAGAGTTAAGGCCGAAAGTACGGGGTACCCAGTGAGAACAGAACTCACTATTCAGTCGTAATTGATCTTGCGATACAAGACTGCTAACCATTACACCACGCACCCTGTTTGTAATCGTAATGATGCGACAGGAAACATTCGGTATTCATTAACCAAACAGCGTTTCGCTCGGTTGAAATTTATAGTTTTATAACCTTTCTCTTAACCTTTACAACTCTGCATTATTAATATTGCTTTAATTTCCACTGCATTCTTTTTCAAGGCCTCTCAGTTGCAGTATCCTTATTTATAAATTCAAACTCAAAGTTGTTTTTTGTTGTCATAGCAGTATATGACAACACAACTATAAAGTATAAATACAGTATTGTTCAGTGATCAGAGTTAATTTCAGTAGCAGAATAAACTTTTTGTGCAACAAATGAATTCACATACAGAGTGATATATGTTAAAACAGTTTGTTTTTTGTTGTTGTTGTTGTTGTTTTTGCTTTTTTGGGGGGAGGGGGGTAAGTGGGAATTAATATCGTTTCATTTTTATTCTCTTAGCTAATTTTATTATTTAGTCTTCTCTTTCCGGAAGTTTCCATATTTGCTGACTCATACATGATTAAAGACTTATTTTGTTTTTTGCATGTCGTTTACCAAGCATTGACTGATCTAAGTGTTGTCTATCCAAAACATTTACGTTACGTTGGATAATGTTTTACTGATAAAAGACAGGCATTAATAAAACTGAATAAATATTAAGATATATATATATATATATAAAAGAAAAGAAAAGAATATATATATGAGTAGATACAGATGATTTTAATTAAGTTTTAAGGCTCAAGACGAGGCGTAAAATGATATATTGCAAGTTAGTTTTACACAGATAACAAAAAAAATGTAAAACAGCTAAGTGTTTTTTGTGTGTTTTTGTTTTTGTTTTTTTCGTTTTTTACTGTTGTGGGTATGTGTGCGAGGGTGTGTGTGAAAGTCTGTCGCCTGCAAGTCGTTATGAAACTCCTATAGCAAAATCAGGTAGGTTAACTACTCGTGCAACCGTGTTTCTTAAGGAGACTGAAAGCAAGTTGTAAATTAAATAAAGTCAGAAATATATTCTTCACTTCGTGCGCTTAAAATCTGGCATTTGTTATCACTTAAATTTTGACTCCCTTTTCCTTCATTCCTGCATCATTATGATCGTTCCTGACGTATACGGAATTAGCCACAAGGTTCCTTTATAGACCTCAGGTGTGTAATTTAGGAATGTGGTACTGGAAGGGGCGCAGGTTGCAATTTGACGAAGACGGGTGTGGAGGTAAATAATAGGCAAAATATTACAAGGTAAGCACAATGACTAACGCGACGAGAATTCGAACTTTGAAAACATACAGCAGCAAAGAAGCAGATAGCAGTCTAAATAAACGAGACAATTTTCTTTTTGGGGCTGTGGAAATAAATAAATATTTTTGTCTTGATGCACTCGAAAGGCATTCTTTTTTTTCTTTTTTTTTTTCTTCGTATCACATTGATGTATAGGCATGATTATCAGGCACAGAATTGCTGGAATCGGCGAATTCAAATTCCGGCTTTGTTTGTATGTCTAATGCGCTTAACAAAGGCGTGAATTCATCGCTTGTACTCCATACCTCCTCCTAAACAGCAGGATACACAAACAGCAAAAAAATATGTGCCATTTATGGAGATGGTGCCATAGCTTAGAGTACTGTTCGGAAATAGTTCGCTTCATTCAGAAGTGAGAATTTAGATCTGAAAGAACGAGAATATTCCGATGATTGCCAAACAAGTAGGGAAATTCAGAATTCCAAACCTTGGAACAGGCAACGGGAAACTTTTCTTTCCTTAGCAAGAAGTCATAACAATGCATAAATAATAAACTAATCTGTGCGTAAACATGATTTACTTTGTCCTGAAAAAAAAAACATATCTTTAAAAAAATCATACTGCTAATCGAATTTTCTGATTGACTACTCTTGTGTACCAGGACTTGCGGTCACATCACATTGAAACACCGGTTCTCGTACGATCACCGAAGTTAAGCAACGTCGAGCCTGGCCAGTACCTCGATGGCTGACCGCTTCGGAATACGAGGTGCTGCAAGCTTTTATGTGCGGATTGTGTAATGGATACTGGCTCGAAATAGTTAACTGGAGAGCCATGTTCCAATTCTCGTTGCGTTCGTTATATTTATTTAAGCGCAAATACCCTTGAAAAAGGTATGAATTCACCTCTTCACCTCGCAGTTATGGGTTAATTAGTAAGACTTGTATCATTAAAACTTTATTATAAAAAAAACCCCTTACAATCTAAATATATTATAATGGGTTGATAAGCCGTAAAAAACGAATCAATCAAATAATAATCTTGTATACCAAAAATACGTGCCATCACGATTGAATTATTTGATTCAATTTTCCTCTCTTTTTTATTTATAGTTTATTTATTTTACAACATTCGGATAAAATAATATTAATCCCCTTTTGTTCTTATAATTTCACCCCAAAGCAAGGTGATAATGCCACTAAGACGCAACGGGTTACTGGAAGTGAAAGAGAAAGAGAATAATTTAGTGAGGAGAAAGAAAATAAAAGAACAGATTTCAACAAGACAGAAGATGGTTATTGACGCTATATTTAATTTTTTTTGAAGATCGTACGTGGCAGAGAAACAAGAAAACGGAAGAAAGTTCCACAAGTGAGAAGTGTGAGAAAAGAAACTATTAGAGTAGAACTTACGGTTACATCAAGCTATTTCAACAGTAAAATGACAAGACCCATTTGCCAATGTTGTAGCACGCTTAAATTCACACGGTGGTCGTACCAAGGAGATCTCATTTGCTTTTGTCTTATTTTGTTTTAAGTTTTTATTTGGGTAGGGAACGCTTGTTATTTTTCAAATAATTTTCTCTGCGGCACTATTATTTTATACCACGTTTATTAATCTTATATAAAACTTCATGGCGGAACCTTTATTTAAAGCGGCACACTTCTTTTATCAGTTGATAATTCCTACCATCATAACTATTCCAGACTGCATTAGTATTCGGTACAAAAGAGTATCCCAGCGAGAGAATTAGAAGGCTTGTACTGCTCACTTATGGAGCTAAGTCGATCCTTACTGAGTAACTGTGTAACTTGTGCCAGACTAAGCTAATTTGGGTCAATAACAAAGAAGCGACTCGACGAAGAGTAATCGTTAGCAAGCTTGCTTAGCTAAACATTATGACTCTAATAAATTTAATTCTGCGTCTAGTTGCTCTTCATACAATCTCTTATGCCAGACTAGATTCTTTTTTCTTAAGCTCTTCATCCCAAGCAAGGCGAGAGTGCCACTAGGACGCAAGTCGTTACAGAGAGTGGGAGCAAGAGTAAAGAGGCGTGATCGAAGAAAAGATGAAGAAAAGGACGGGGAATAGATCAAAGCATCAGGAGATGTCGATTGACATTGCATTTGAATAGTTGGAGATTATAGCTGTCAGGGAAACAAATAAGAGGAAGGGAGTTCCACAGACGGGAAGTGCGAGACATTCTATTGGATTAGAAGAGACAGATACATTTAACCGTTTCGACAGTGGAAGGGTGGGACCGAGATGCCAACTTAATAGCAAGTTTAAATTCATGCAGTTTGGGAACCAGCGAAAGTAGCTCGTCGGAGCAGTTACCGTGACAGTATTTGTAGAAAGACAGAGGGAGGCAACGGCACGTCTGTGAGAGAGTGACTGTAAACGAGATGCCAGATCAAGGCCGATCACATTGCATATCCGTGTCTATATTTTGTCGGGGGCTCCAGACCATTATGACAGCAGTATTCCATGCAAGTGTGAATGATTGATTTATAGATTTAAAGGATGGACAACCATCACATCTATTCCAGACTGCAGTAGTATCCCAGCGAGAGAGTTAGAAGGCTTGTGCTGCTCAGGTCGATCCTTACTGAGTAACCTTGTAACTTGTGCCAAACTAAGCTAATTTGGGTCAATAACCATTATGATTCAATAAATTCAATTCCGCGTCTAGTTGCTGTATATACATGGTCTTGTGCCAGACTAGATACTGTAAGTATCAATAATCGATGTTCCTTTAAACTTAATCACCATAAAATGGAGAGCGGAGGCTTTTAATAATGATGAGACACGGTGGAGTAATGGATAGCGGATCGGATTGAGAAATCTGAGAGCCGAGTTCAAATTCCAGTAGAATCCATTACATTCACTTACGTGCTAATACCCTTGGAAAAGGTATGAAGCCTCTTCCTCTCCCTCCAGCTATGGGCACATAGCAGGACAGGCTGGGTTCTATAGCCTTGGATGGAAAATGGTCTACCGCAGAAAGAAATGGCAACCTACGGCTGGAAAAAATCTGCCTCGTCAGTCATGTATCTTTCGATATATGTTCGCCTAAGCGTGTATCACGCATGGCACCTAACTGACTGAATTATGAGCTTAGCCGTTTCCTTATAAGGAAACATTCGGAATCCATTAACCAAACAATTTGCATTACTACGGTTGAAATTTATCAAATCTTTCCATTGAAGCAGTTTCCCAGTTCCGTTCATTCTAGTCTTTATGCCATTGAACATTTGAAATAGGACCTTTGTCCGGACAAGGGTCCTATTTCAAATGTTCAATGGCAGTCGTATTAGTAGTATTATAATAAAATATAATACGGTTGAACTGCCTGCGAACAAAGTTTTCTGAGGTGCCCCCTCTAATTTTTCCTTACAACCTTCGACTGTGATGAAATATTAATATTTTGCGTGCGTGTAGTTACATCCTGTTTAAGTACGCGCGAGGGCGCTGATATTCTTTTTTGTCCACAGTCAAAGTTCGAAGGTTTATTTTAAAAATACTTACGAACCTTTTGTTTCATGTAATGTGAAATATCAACATCTTGATTATATCATTATTTTCCATTCTGGTTTCATCAGCTATCCATTCTAGTTGTTGCTGTTCAAAATCTTCATTGTGGTTTCTTTTATTTGCTAATGTTCTTTGTTTGCGATTCTGTAACGCCAGTCTGCGAAATCCAACAAAGGAGAATTCCTTTGTGACCCACGGTTTTCATTCGGTTGAATCCATTTTGAATCATTGAGTCAAGGCAATTTAAGACCATAGCTCAAGTTCTTAGTTGGTTGTTTTGGTTTTGTAGCATATTGAGGTGAAACTACCCCTCTAGAGCAGCCTATTTCGTTTTCAATTTCCTTTTCTCCTGTACTAAATCGTTTAAAGTCTCTGAGTGATATGCATATAAACCCTCCCATGGTTTTTGCTATCATCTCTAACCCAGATCCCCGCAAAGCATGTGGACCCGATGGTATCCCTGTAATAGTCATTAAGAAGTGTGCTCTAGAACTGGCTCCTGTATAATAAATGCCTCACTGCCTACTGATTTCCCGCCTGCTGGAAGTCATCATCTTTTGTTCCAGTTTTTAAGAACTCTGGTGAACAGTCTGACCCTTCCAACTACCCACCTATTAGCTTCTACCGTTTTTTCGGAAAATCCTAAAGGTCATAATCAATACCGAATTGGTTCATCATCTCTCATCGCAGGGCCTTTTTTTTCTGACAAGCAATAATGACTTTGGTTTCTCCAGGTTGACTGCTGATTTACTGACGTTAATTGCGGAAAGAGTCTATTATGCTCTAGATAAAAACGGTGAAGCCCGAGCTGTAGCATTGGACATCTCGAAAGTCTTTGACAGAGTTTGGCATACAAGTCTTCTCCACAAACTGAAAATTTATAGTGTTTCCGGCCACATTTTTGAACTGATATATTCTTTACTATCAAATTGTGAAATGAAAGTTATCTTGAACGGCCACTCGTCTAGATCCTTTCGTACTAACGTAAGTGTCTCCCAGGGATCTATCCTTTGTCCTACTCTGTTTTTAATTTTCATTAATGACCTTCCCGATTCAACTTGGTATCTACGCTGATTACACAAGCATTTATTCTTGCCTCGATAGTAAGGCTGATCGGTCCGACAAGGACAAAATGGTAGCTGATGTCCAAAACGACCTCAAGCCCGTTGTTAACTGTGAAAAAATTGACTTGTTAATTTTAACGTCTCCAAAACTAAACTTTTCTCCATTAATCATCTGAAACCCCTCTCTGCCTTCAACCAGCATGGCTGATGCTAACCTCCAACAAAGTGACTCGTTGCGCCTCCTTGGGCCAATATTCTCAGCTACCAGGAAGTGGAAAGACTATATTGAATCCATTGCTAGGTCAGCTGCTAAGAATATCGATTCACTGTGCCGTGCGAGACAATTTTTCTCTCCAGAATCTACCATACATATCTATAAGTCTACCATTCATCCATGCTTAGAATATTCCCGCCGCATATGGTCCGGTGACCCTGCTATTTACCTTGAGCTTCTTCATAAAATCCAAAGAAGAATCAGCAATATTATTGGTCCTGACATGACATCTCGGCTTCAGTCACTTTCCCACCGCCGTAAAGTTGCCTCTCTGTGTCTTTTCTATAAAAGTTTTCATTTAAAATCCCCAAATGCAGATTCTGTGATGAATATCTAAAAACAATTATTGACTATTTTGTGTCAGGTTACATGGTATTAGCATCCACCGAATATAAAACTCGATATCACAAGGTGGACTAATATCGATACTGGAAAATCTGCAACTTTTATAAGAAGGAAACTGCAAGAAATTGGTACTACCCAGACCCGGTTACATACATGGGACCTGTAACAATTTTATGGGATTTAACATTACACATACAAAACAATCAAAGCTAATCCTCCAGGTATAGTGATCAAAGACCACAAAAACAGAGTTTCACCATTTTTTACTTGTAAGGAATCTATAACAGACGTTGGATTTTTTATCGATTAAAATATTTCATCCTCTACTGAGTGGTCAAAGACATGATGCGTTGCTGCTGTGGTTTCCATAACAAGTAAGGCATGAACTTGCTATCCTTGTGTTCATCCGGTTTTGTATCCGGTTTTTCATTTACAGTAACCGGTGTTCTCAAGCTGCTCCCCATCTAAGTACTGACCAGGCTCGACACTGCTTAACTTCATGATCAAACGAGAACCGCTTTTTTAGTGTGATTCGACCGTAAGCAGAATATTCTCTATAA